CAAGCCTATTCAAGGGTGGGTGAGCATATGTCTTTCCAGGGGAATAAGTGGGTGTAAATGTATTGACTTACATTCCTGGTAGGCACTGTTCTGATTAAATATGCATTGCCCACATACAGGGTTTAAAGATGTTTGTGCAGAAAGCCTCTGTATGTAGCCTGAACTTTTATACAGTGGATATATGCTTGGCCATGTGAAATCGGACTCCTGGCATATTAAATTTTTACTGCTGTAAACCCAAGCCCATTACTTTCCCCCAGCACAGGCAGCCATAAACCTTGCCGCTGCTTTGCTTCCAGAATAAGCCAGGCATTTATGTTTCCCGGGAGCTGGTTCATTGGCGTAATGGATGTCTAACCTCCTGTAATTGCTAAGGTTATTCCAGCACTTGCATGCAAGCCCTGGCTCTGTTGCCAGCCAGCTATCACTGTTTTTACTTCAAGTGGGTTGCTGGTGGAGGAACTCTAAGGCGCCTGGAATGGCACCGGGAGGCTTTGAAATGCAGAATGCTGCAAGCCTGAAGTGGAAAGCATGAGCACGCAATTGCAGGAGACAAGGGGACAGTAAATGGTTGTACATACTTAGACCGGGAGATCAAGGATACCTCGAGCCTGTCACTGCATCTGGACTACATCAGCTTGTTGACTCGGCTGATGATCGAGGGCTGAGCATCCCCAGACGCGGCCCAAGCGGCTCGGCCTCACCCGTGGCTCTCCATCGCAGCATGAGGCTTTGGAGCAAACACAGCAGCACCGTCTCCTGCAACGTGCTGCTGTGTAGAGGGGAGGAGGCCAGGGCTGGGGTACTGCCAGCGCAGCTTTCCTTGGACCTCTCCCCTCTCCTTTTCCAGACAAGGAGCTCCCGACACTCCCAGGGCTCCCAGCCCGGCTTAGCCGATCAAGCCAAGCTTTCCTTCGCCTCGGCCGAATCCCTGGAAACCATGTCGGAAGCTGAGCTGCCCATTGGATTCAACAGAATGAACCGGTTCCGACAGAGCTTACCTCTGTCCCGGTCCACCAGCCAGACGAAGCTGCGATCCCCAGGTACCGTCGCCCTCTCCCTCCCTCGCAGGCAGGGCAAGGGGCCGGGGCGAGCAGCGTGTGCCTGCTCGGTCAGGGCTGAATCCGGTCTCCCTGTGACTGTGGTTGTGACAGGCCACTCGCGCCTGGGAGCTGGGGGAGCTGTGCAGGGGCTGCGCTTTGGATGCTGATCCACCAAACATCTATTTTTGCCTCTGCAGACTGATAACTTGCATCTGCCACTTGCACACATGCCATGTGTGTATGGCATTGTTTTGTTTTACGCAAATAAACCCAGTGGGATCAGAGGTCACTGCGTGTTATGCAGGAATGACTGGTGGGGGGGACAAGCTGCCTTCAGCCTTTTTGCTCCCGGGTGGGGTTGGATAGAGCAGAGATCACTGACCCTTCGATTGGGCACAGAGACCTCCAAGCAGGTGGACAAACTGAGGCCAGAGAGCCCCAGCCCGTGGCATCTCTTCAGTGTTGCATCAAGACAGGGTGAGAGTACAGCAGCTCTCCATGGTGTGGGCACCTCTCACCCCTTGCTGCTTGCTCTGCTTCCAGGGGTCCTTTTCCTGCAGTTCGGGGATGAGACGAGGCGTGTTCACATCACCCATGAGATCAGCAGCATGGACACCCTGCACGCCCTTATTGTCCACATGTTTCCCCAGAAGCTCACAATGGGGATGCTGAAATCTCCCAACACTGCCATCCTCATCAAGGACGAGTCGCGCAATGTCTTCTACGAGTTGGAGGATGTCCGGTGAGGGTTTGGGCCAGATAGCGAGGGAGGGAGTGAGCTCAGAAATCCAGCACTAGTTTTGCGTTGGTACCTGACATCTTGGGCCAGTTCTTACAAGGAGCACCAGCCTCTAAGAGTTTCTCCTTACACAAGCTGTGTCACGAGAGCCTGCCCTCCTGGGGGTATCGAGCTCATTAGCTTGCATTTTTCTTCCTCAGAGGTGAGCTGGTGTTGGCAACTCTTCTCCCTGCGGGGATGGTCCAGTGTCTCCCTTTTCGATGGGGTAGAAAGACCTTTGCAATGGAGGAGGATTTCCTTGGAGATGGTGGAGGGACCAAAGGTCATGTGGGGCTCTTTAGAAGAAACTGGGGCAGGCAATATTTACTCTGCAAAGTCTGACCTAGGAAAACCTGACACAGGGGATGGAGCTGGCATGGCTGCAGGAAGTTGAATATCTGCTTCTGCCCGGACTGGGTCAGCTTTGCAGCCCGGTCCATGTGGCTGTCCCTGATCGGGCAGCTGTCACGGTGTGCCCTGGCAGGAGAGATTGATTTCCCTTTCTTTGCGGGCATCACAAGAGATGAAATTAGTGGAATGAAAGCAGAAGGATGTGGGTGTAAGTCTTGTGGTCAGGACCTGCTGGAGGCTTGGAGGCTGCCTGTCCGAGATGCCTGGCTCATAACTCTCCCTCTCATTTCAGAGATATCCAGGACAGAAGTATCATTAAAATCTACCGAAAAGAGCCCCTCTATGCCTCGTTCCCAGCTTCGCACATCACCAATGGTGACCTGAGGGTAAGGGGGGATGCAGGTGTTCATGCGGAAGGGGAGAGGGTGCAGTGTGCGCGAACCTTGGATACTGGGGCTGGGGTTAGTGGAGAGAGAAAGTGAAAGAGACAAAGAGTCTGGTAATTGTGGGTGTTTGCAGAAGGAATAATGACTGCGATTCGATTTGTCTTTCCGGATTTCAGCATTGCTAAGTGTTACTTTAAGTGAATGGATATTTGGAACCTGACAGCAGAGTAATAAACATGATAATTAGGGAATTCATCAGAATGAATCGTCCTGCTCCTGGATGGGAATGAGGGAGCTGCCATTTGCCAAGGCCAGGTGAAGACTCATGAGCTGCAGATCCCGGTTCTTGGTGCAATCCGAGACAGAGCATGGCTGTGGGGTCTCTAGCTCAGCCTTACCTGGCAGGAGGGTGTTTGCTTGGGGATCGGTAGTAGCAGAGGGGTAGTGTACAGATGCACACGTGCCCACAGAGAGCACTCTGCCCTAATGCCTCAGCATCCACAACGGGGACCCAGACCTCTCCATGGGAGGGTTGCACCAAGGCAGGGTCCCAACCAGGCAGAGCAAGGGAAGGGAGTACAACCTGCAGGGGCCACAGCGCTGACGGACTCTGTCTCTTCTCCGCAGAGGGAGATGGTTTACACCTCCAGGGAGTCGTCTCCCACCCGCCGGCTGAACAACATGTCACCAGCCTCTCACCTGACTTCTGGCTCCCCACCGCCCGTGCTCCAGTCCTCCTCCCCGTCCCGCTCTCGCATGTCCTACAGCGGGGGCCGCCCGCCCTCCTACGCGGGCAGCCCCGTCCACCACAGTGAGCGCCTCTCCAACCTGCCACCCGCGCAAGGTGTCTCGCCCAGCCCCAGTGCCATCCTGGAGCGCCGGGATGTGAAGCCAGATGAAGACCTGGCTGGGAAGAACATGGTGCTGGTGAAGAACGAGGGGCTGTATGCCGATCCCTACAGCATGGTGCACGAGGGCCGCCTCAGCATCACCTCCACCCAGTCCCTGGCTGGCATGGGAGATCCTTTTGGCTACTCTGGGGGGCTGTACAAGAGGGGCTCTGTGCGCTCCCTCAGCACCTACTCCGCGGCTGCCTTGCAGACAGAGCTGGAGGACAGCCTGTACAAGCCGAACGCACAGCTTTACAGTGACACATATGGGCCTGGCCTGGGTTTCCGCATGCCCCCCTCCTCCCCGCAGAAGATGGCTGATGGGCGGCTAGTGGATGTGCAGCCGGGGCAGAGCCCTCACAGCCCCTACTCAGGGCCCCCCAGCCGGTCCTCGCCTGTCCGCCAGTCCTTCCGCAAGGATTCCTGCTCTTCTGTCTTCATGGAGAGCCCTGTCAACAAACCACGCAACGCCAGCTCCTCTGGGCCTCCGGAGCTGTTCCCTGGCCCTGGTGACCGCCCGCTGTCAGGGTTCAGCTCTCCTGTGCCGGCCAAGGATACAGAAACAAGGTAAGAAAGGAAATGGGAGAAACCTCCCCATGGAAATTGGCCTTGCTGGCCCGGTTATTGTCCTTTGGTGTGGCTGGGCAACGAGAGACGAAGCACAGGTAGGCTTTGCTCTGTTGTCACAGAGGCAGAAGTACCAAGACATGTAACGAAGAACTGAATTGTGCAGCACTGAGGGAGCTGAGTAGGGATAGCTGGAGGTGTGGAGGGGGTCGGATAGAGTTGGTGAAATTAGCAGTGCTGCCATGTCTCGAGTTCCCTTTTTGGGAATTGAGTACTTCTAGGCTCCACATATGCAAGTGAGACTTGCAGGGACCCTGCACCTGGTGGGTGAGTGCTGATGAGGCCGGGACAAGCACCATGCCACCCTCACAACCTCACAGTGGGAGGGTGTCCGCAGTGCCGGAGCCCGGTCCTCATCCATCCCCTCTTCCTCTCCTTGCAGGGAGCGGATGGAAGCCATGGAGAAGCAGATTGCCAGCCTGACGGGGCTGGTGCAGAGCGCCCTGCTCCGCGGCTCCGAGGCCGAGACCTCCAGGTAAGGATGGGATGGTGGGTGCTGGAGCCATTTCCTGTGTGGTAAAGACAGGGTTGCGGCAGGAGGGGGAACTCCTCCAGGCTCAGGGGAAATCTTCAGCCAAGGTATTTGCTGCTAAGGATCAGGCTGGAGACTCCTGCCCACCCTTCCTGCAGACACCTCCCTCCAAGGAGATGTCAGCCTCTGCAGTGTCCCTGCTCCTGGTGCTGATGAGGACGGAGGTGCCTATTCCACACTCGTTCCCTTCCTGTCTTTTGTTGCAGCGAGAAGACAGAAACCACCAACGGCGGGACCCCCCCATCAGCATGTAAGTGACTGGGGAGAGGAGCAGAGCCAGCCCTTCACCTCACAGTACCCCCAACCCTCTGCTTGAAGCTGCTGCAAGTCCCTGGCCCCAGGCCCATGTCAGGGAGCTGTGGCTCTGCAGCCTCCATCAGCCAGTGGGGCTCCTTGTCCTGCTGAGGAGCAGTCCCTCCTTGGGGCCAGCATGGGGTTTGTGTGGACGATACAGTTTTGGAGGCCACACAGAAGCAGTAATGGACTACGCACAGTGTGGGGAGGGAGGGGGTATTCCCTGGAAAGCAGGAGAGCAGAGTGTGCACACTCCACTGGGATGGGGAGTCTTCTCCAGGGAGCTGAAGGAGCCAAATCCTGGGGGTCAGACCAAAAAGGGGAGCAGGCAGAGGGACTATGAGAAGTGCTGGGTGGGATATACAGAGCGAGAGGAGTCCTGGGCTGGGGGTGGGCAGGGTGCAGGCCTGGGACAGGGAGATGGGAATGCTTCCCTCAGCAGCCTGTGCTTTCCCTCCCTGCAGCGGCCAGCCGGAGGGGCATGGGGACCCCGGGGTTTTGGGGGCCCGCGTTGCCTTGCCCCCCGCCGCCCTCTGCCACAAGCACGCCGGCGGGGCAGCCCACTGCCATCACCCGCTTGCACATGCAGCTGCATCTCCACGACCTGCAGCAGAACGCCAGCGACATCCGCAACCAGCTGCAGCAGCTCAAGAAGCTACAGGTGGGTATGAGGAGCACAGGGGGGACCCCAAGCCAGCCCAGAGTGGTTCCAGCCCAGAGCACAAAAAGCCCCCTTTCCTGGTGACCTTGCATGGGACCAGACTTGGCTGTGGAAGTGTCCTGAGCACAGAGATGACTCTGTGTGCTGGGGGGTCATGGACATGGAAAGGGACACAGTGCCCTGCAGAACAGCCACGGTCTGGGCACAGGCTCCCTGAGAGCAGCCGCCCACTTCACTAAGTTCAGACCCTGGATGACGTCTTGATCCTGGGCTGATTTTGACCCATAGTCTGGAATTGAAAGGCTCTGTAGCCCATTTAATATGCCCTCACACATGCCCACAGTGAACACACAGCCCTGCTCCTGGCTTTGTTTTGCTGTTAAATGTGGCCTCAGCCCACTCTTGGATCCAGAGCAAAGCAAAGGATCTCTGGGTGCTGCACATTCAATCGGCTGTTTTAGGTCAATCTCTGGAGCCAGCTAAAGTGCCAGTGTGGGGGCACCCTGCCAGGTCACCCGTCCCTCCCCATCCTAGCCCTTCCCTGCGTTGCTGCCTGCCTGGTGCAGAGCAAGGCTGGACAGTGGCTCCCCTTCTGGGGCCGAGGAGCTGAGTGTCAGGCTCGACTGTGCACCCAGCTTTGCTCTGACCAACCCAGCTCCAAAAACAAGGAGCAGTGACAGATCTGCAGAGCATAGACCGAGCCAGACCTGAGTGTGTAAGAGCGAGGGTCCTGATCCCTCCCCAGCCTGAGCCTGAGGCTGTCCCCGCAAGTGGCCAGTCCTGAGCCATGCCCCTTGCCTGCGATGGGCCCCGTCCAGGCGGCTCCCCTGGCCAGCGGGCTGACTCCCCTCCCTGACCCCACAGCTGCAAAACCAGGAGACAGTGAAGACAATGCTGCGGCGAACGGAGACGGAGATCAGCGTGCGGGTGACGGATACCATGCGCAAGCACGAGGACCCTCTGCAGCGCCAGCGCAGCCTGGTGGAAGAGGAACGACTCCGGTACCTCAATGAAGAGGAGCTCATCACCCAGCAGCTAAAGTGAGAGCCCATTTGGGTAGGAGCCCCATGGGCAGAGCTGGTGCTGCTGGGCTGTGTCTGCCCCACCAAAGCGCCCCAGCTCCTGGCACTCGAATAGGGAGGGGGTCCTTGTACACCAACCTCGATGGGCCAGATCCTCCACTGGCGTAAATCAACATCCCTGCATGGCACCTTGATGTCAGGCTCCATCCTTATTCCCCCCAGTGCAGGGAGGGGAAAGCATTGTGGTCCCCAGCCAGCTCTGCTCCCCTCTCTGCAACGCAGGACATGAGTGGAGGGGACCTGCCAGCCTAGCCATCCTGTTCCCTCCCCTCTGGCTCTGCACAGTACCAGAGTGGCAGTGATGTCCTTGCCCTGCCTGTTTGTTCATAGTGACCTGGAGAAGTCGGTGGAGAAGATCCAGAAGGATTTAGCCCACAACCACCGGCTCATCCCTGTGCAGGAGCTGGAGGAGAAGGCCGTGGTGTTGAAGCAACTGGGGGAGACCCTGACAGACCTCAAGGGTGAGGGGCTGCGAGCACAGGGGACGGGGGGCAGTCCTGGGCCTGCAGTGCTGGCAGGGTTGGGGAGCAGCATCTGCTTGCATCTCCTGCCTCCATCCTCGTGTATGGGAAGCCGTTGGCCTGGCAGCAGCACAGTTGCATGGCCCTGGGTTTCCTGTTTCCTGCAGGTTTGTGTGTTTGCATATACTGAGGCTGTGCATCCCTGTGTGCTTGTGTGCTTCATCGGTGCGTTGCCTGCGCGCTTGGTTGGTGCTGGGGCCACGGGTCAGCAGGGCGTTTGCCTGTATTGCCTTACGTGTGGCTGGCATGTTTGCCTGTATTCCCCAGCCTAGGTTTCCGGGGTGCCTGTGCAGGTCTGGGCTGTGTGTGTCCTGCAGGTTTTGGGGTGTTTCAGTGGTGAGGGCTGCATCCCGCACCCCTGCTGCAGTGTTCATGGCTCTCCAGGAACAGTGTCCCTGTTTGCTCTGCTAGCTGTTGAAATCCGTCCTGAAAACTCTGCCCAAGTTCATCTGACAGCTCATGCTTGCTCAAATCTCAGCCTCCCCCTCCCATGGGACCTAGCTTTTACCCACCCCCCTGCACACTACATTTTATTTTGCTGCTCCTGCAATCTCCCAGCCCTGGGCTGCACCCATCTTGCCTTTCCTGAGCAGATACACTCTGCGCTTCAATTCATAGTGGCAGAGTTCCTACTTCCCAGAGCCAAAGCAGATAATAACTGATGATTTGGCAGAAGTTGCTGAGGTTGTGAGAGGGAGAGGGACAGAGGGGAGATGTGGGGAGGGACTGGAGGCACAGGGCAGAGGTGTGAACAGCTCTGTTTTCCTGCAGCCTTTACATAAAATCGGGCTGATGCTGAGCAGCCTAGACAAGTGAGCAGAGCGCGAGGCAGGCAGCCAGAGCTCCCTGCTCCACGTCAGGCTCTGCCCCAAGTCTCCAGGGCCACGGTCCTGGCTACCAAGCCCCCCGCAGGGGTCCGCTCTGCGGGAGCCTTTGTGTCCATTGCTGCAGCTTGGGGTTGCCGGGTGGGAGCTAAGATCGGTGCCAGTGGCTGGATGAGAGAAATGAGGCCTGCGTGTGGCAGGGAGAAGGATGATGGGCACGTAGAGGCAGAGAGACGCTAGCACAGATGCCCCAAGGCTCATCCTGCTTGGTCTAGCAGGGCGTACGTGCCGTAGAAGTGCGGACGGCCGTGGGCATGGGGCGCCCGTGGAACTGCTGGCCTGGCAGGCTGGTAGGCACCAGGAGGGACTTCTGGTCCTGCACTGCCATGGCCCTGCGTGACCCCCTGCTCTCCCACCGCAGCCCAGTTCCCCAGCCTGCAGAGCAAGATGCGAGTGGTGCTGCGGGTGGAGGTGGAAGCGGTGAAGTTCCTTAAGGAGGAGCCGAACCGCCTCGATGGTCTGCTCAAGCGCTGCAAGACAGTGACAGACACCCTCGCCCAGCTCCGCAGGTGAGTGCTGCGTGCCCCTCCGGGGGCAAACCCGCACTGCTCGAATCCTGACCCAGCCGCCCTCTGGCTCTGGCCCTGCTCCACATCCTCAGCAGTGCCCCATAAATATTCAAATTTTTCTGCCCCTTATGTGCGCTTTGGAGGGCACAGCTCATCCCAGAGGCTACCTGTAAGCCTCCCCTTCTTCAGTTTGCTCCTGTGCCCTTAATACATGTGCCAGCATTGCCCCTGCGCTACAGCTGGGAATCCCCAGAACTGCACAAGATAGGGTCATTTTTCTGCTAGGAAATTAAAAAATTCCCTCAATCCTTTTCAGTGGGGGGGAGAGGGCTCTCTTTCAAAACTGAATTTTCCTTATCACCCTAAAAAAATCTGTTCATGTGTCTGGATACAATGAAAGCACTTGATGTGATCAGAAATCTCTTTCCTGAGGAAGAGAAAAACATTCCGATGGAGAAAATCATCTTCCATATCTAATAATAATTGTAGGCTGGGAAGTGTAGCATTGCTGAGCCTGCCTGCCTGTTCTCATTACAAGACCCTTCACAATAGCTTGTAAGTTGGCCAAACTTGAGGAGGAACGCTCCTTCACCAGGGCTTGCCTCAGGCTCCTTTCTAGCCTGGTTTTCTGAGGAAATGAGCTTGTATGATCACTCAGTGTATGACTCTGCCTACCTGTCATTCCCCCTTTCCTTATAACTCCTGAATCCAATGGTCAATGTCAGCCAAATTTAACAGAGGAGCAGAATCCTGAGAGATCTCAATTTCCTACAAGTTTCATGAAAATGGACAGCCAGGTAGAGAAGAGAGAGCTTATTAATGTGCTGTGCTAAGAGAGAACCTGTAGCGTGAACTCCACCCCTTCATAGACATCAGAGAATCTAAACCTTCGGCCATGAAATGCAGGCGTTCAGGAGAGCAGGTTTGTTTGCTCCTCTGGTTGTGGTGGGGCTCGGAGGGATCATAATAACCAAGCACACCTGGGTGCTGGCCCTATCTCTCGCTATGCCCAGCTCCCCGTGCCATGCAGTGACCCAACGGCTTCTCTGTCCCCGGCAGGCAAGTGGAAGAGGGCGTGTGGACCTCCCCCAATAACCTCAGCCAGTCCCCCAAGAAGATCGCCCCTGAGACAGACTTCAGCAAAGGGCTGGATTTGGAGACGCCCACCAGTCCCCCAGTCAGCCTCCATCACCTGACGGCTGCCACCGAGACCCTGGGCATGCCTAGCTTTGGGCACAGCCCCCCCCAGACCCAGACCCACCCCTCCAAGAGCAATAACCCTTCACGGGCTCCGGAGATGGTACCTGCCAAGACCCAGACGGGCCCAGAAACTCCCAGCAAGAAGAGCGTGGACAAAGCCATATCTGTGGAGGTAAGATTCCAGAGCAGGTTCCTCCCATTTTGTCCAAACAAAGCTGCAACTGAGGGCATCTTCTAAAGGGCCTGACCCTGCTAGAGCTCTCTTTCCCCAACACCCCAATGTCTCCCAGCTGAAACTGAGAATAAAAGCTAGGTATTTTCCTCCTCCTCGCTAGATTTCTAGGCTGAAGGGGCATCGTAAGAGCGAGGAGCCCCCAGTGTTGATCGCAGCCTTAGAAGCACTCTCAAATTGCATGTCGGCACGTTGGCAAGTTGCAAGCTGGGGTGCACAGCTTGGTAATTAGAGCAGTGCAGGGCTCCAGGACTCGGGTTCAGTGGGTGGCAGGTTGGAGGGAGGCACCAGGGCTGTGACTGGGGTACGTCTCACCTGCAAGGGTGGGAGAAGCTGCCTCATGGGTGCAAGTTGCAGCGAGCTCTGTCTGCTGTCTGCAGGCTGCCGAGCGGGACTGGGAGGAGAAGCGGGCAGCGCTGACCCAGTACAGTGCCAAGGACATCAACCGCCTCTTGGAGGAGACACAGGCCGAGCTCATGAAGGCCATCCCTGACCTGGAGTTCGCTGCCAAGCACAAACAGGCCACAGGCAGCAGCAGTGCCGCGTCCACGCCAGAGCACAAGCCCTCTAAGCCGCAGCATGCACAGAAATCCACGGGCAAGGTGGACCCCAACGGCCGACGGGGCTCAGGTACAGCGTGGGGAGGGCAGGGGGCCTGCGGCTGCCCTGCGGATCCCAGGGCTGGCAGGCATGCAGAGCTGGTTGCTGCAGATCCAGGGCAGATCCAGGTGCAGGACTTGTGCCCGAGATGAGCTCCGCTTTCTCCACTAATCTCTCTTTCTGCTTGTGCCCTGGCTGTGTCCTCACTCTCCTTGTCCTACTATCACCGGTGTGTTTCCCTGGGCTGAGCAGTGGTGCCCTGAAGGGAGCTTTTATGCCCAGGGAGATAGGAGGAGAGTCCCAGCTGTAGTTCTAGAGGGGAAGGGAAAGGCCTCGTGCTCTCACAGTGTCTCTTGTGCCCAGATGAACTGACAGTGCCCCGGTACCGGACCGAGAAGCCCTCGAAATCGCCGCCACCTCCCCCTCCTCGCCGGAGCTTCCCCTCGTCCCATGGGCTGACCACAACCCGCAGCGGTGAAGTCATTGTCACCAGCAAGAAGGAGCCCGGTTTCATGAAGGTAGGGAGCTGGGCCATAGGATGGCTGCTGAGCTGGGCTGAGAGAGGTCACTCTTTGGCACGACTAGACATGGCCCAGCCTCCTGGTGCCCCAGCCCCTCATCCATCCTGCTCTTCCCTCACAGAAGGCCGAGTCAGAGGAGCTGGAGACACAGAAGCCCCAGGTGAAGCTGAGACGGACAGTGTCAGAGGTGGTCAGGCCTGCGTCCACCCCACCCATCATCGCCTCTGCCATCAAAGATGATGATGATGAGGACCGCATCATTGCAGAGCTGGAGGTGAGTGTGGCAGGGGCTGCGGGAAGCCCCAGGTTACCCGGACAGGAGGCAAAGCCCTCACTGACCTGTGTGCTCACATGTGGCCGACATGGGCTGTGCCCTGCTCTAGACTTTGTCAGGAAACACCTGGGGACAGGACTAGGGAACAGCTGGGTAAAGAAGCATCTCTAGCCCTGGCCTAGCAGTGGGTCTCCCCCTCCTTGCCCTATCTTCCAGCAAGAACATGGGACTGTGGAGATGGACAAGCAATTGCACCCTGTGAGACCCCTTGCAGGGTCAAGGAGCTGAGTTTACCAGCCTTCTTCGGCACTTCCACCCAGTCTTGGGCTCTAAGCCAAACTCTTTAATGCTGTGCAGCCTCCCGTGGAGATTCATTAGGTTTGTACACAAGGCACCCTGCAGAGATCCCACCTGAGATGCCTTTCTGAGGCTCTGCATTCTGCAGGACTGCACTCTCCCCAGGCTAGTTATTGCCCCATGTCCAGCCCCGTGTGTTCGCTAAGGCTGAGGTACCCAGGTGCATTGTGGATCCTAGTGAGCTCCCAAACACTAGGAGCCTTGTGAATAGCTCCATGGGCAAGTCATGCCCTCCGGCCTCCACCTCTGCAGAGCCTGCCCTGTGGACCCACCAAGGTTCCTTGTTGTCAGCTGAGAACAGTGGTTGTTTCACTCACTGCCAGCAGCTGATGAGCCCCTGACCTGGCCTGTCTCCGGCAAGCGTCCCTGCAGGCTCCATCTCTGTGACTGCCAAGCCTCCCTCCTCCAATCCACCGTGTTTGACTCCCCAGGTGTTTCAGAGAAGCTCTGCCTCCCCTTTCATTCCCAAGCTCCGTTATGATCCGCTCGCGGCTGCCATCTCCCCTGGGCACGCAGACTTGTGGCCCAATGGAGCCTCCGTTGCAGCCGAAGGATGGAAGGTAACAGCTTGCTCCGAGCTACAATCCCTCCTTCTACCTGACGGGCTGCCACCGCACTTTAACCAGTCTCATCTCCTGCCTCTTTTTAACTCTCTCTCTCTCTCCCCTTGTCTCTGATTTAACAAACTAATGGCTTCTCTCCGCTCCCTTGCTCACTGCCACTGTGTGCGACACTGACACAGCACAGGACAAACCACTAACCACACCACCCCATACAACAGCAACATGAGGCTGCTGCAGCTCCCGTGAGGGCCAGACCCTGCAGCCACATGGATGGGAGAAAGAATGGAGGGCAAGGGGCATGGGGCCACCCCCAGCACCCCCACCGGGCAGGGCGTGGGGAGGGCTCGCTGGTCGCACACCGTTTGGGTTGCCTTGGTGGCTTGCTACAGCCTGGGAGGGTGTCACTGGAATGAGGGCTCTGGATGGTGATGCATGTTGTGCCTTGCGGATGGAGACCCTGCTCCACATGCATGATGCTGGCAGAAGGTGAAGGGCTGGGCTGGAGGCTGGTGGCTGCTGGGAGCCACTTGGGCTTGCTCCCATCACACCTCTGGACTGCTGGGCACCTGAACAGAGCAGAAGGGGCAGGCTCAGCCCTGCTCCCTCCCAGCCCTCCTGCCCTTCATCCTCCAGGGATGGAGAGAGCAGGAGGAAACAAAGATGCCTGGAAGGTGGACGAGATGGAGCAGAGGGTGTCCTGAGGGGTGAACAAGAGGGGACTGCTGAGACCCTCTGCAGAAAGTATCTAGCAGTGGGGAGCAGCTGGACAGATAGGCTGCACCCACGGGAAGGGGACAGGACTGGTGCAGGACAGGGCTGGGGAAGCACTTTGCAGTGGGACACAGAGGCAGAGCCCTGGATCCAGCCAGCACGGTGGATACCTGTGTGCTGCCTGGCTCCAGCCTAACTGGTGATGCAAAGTGGTTTCGCATGGCCAAAAAGGGCCACGCTATTTCCTTGTACCCTGCAAAGGCTTCAGTGGATTCACAGCCAGACGTTTGCTGGCCTTCCTGCCCTCAAACCCAAACCTTGGGAGGGGATGCACAGGCCGCTCTCCTTCACTGCACCGCGATGAAGGCTGGGTCAGGGCAACACGCATCTCTGTGCCAGCCGGGCTGCGAGAGCTGGGAGCGCTCAGCCCCAGCACGCTGCCCACCTCCCGCACATCACTTGAGATGAGCCACAGGGCCAAGGAGGACAGCTGGGCCTGGGAGCCCAGTCCCTTCTGGTGTGTCCTGCTCCATGTCCCCCCAGCAGCTCTTTGGGCTTTCTGGCTCATCCAGAGCAGCTCAGCTGCTGCTGGGGTCAGGGCACATTGTAGCGTCCCTGCTTTCTCCTGGGGAGACCCAGCACCAGGGCTGAGCCTGCTGGGCAGACCATGGTTGCCCTAGAGCTGCTCCCAGGCAGCATTGCCTACCCCTGTGGGGAAGGGCCCCTCTGCCTGCGGCTTGGACAAGTCCAGCTCTGGCCCCAGAGCTCAGTAGCCATCACAGCACGTGTATTTCCTTCCCCGTCAGCCCTGGGTGGTACTTAGACCCCCAGGGCTGGAGCATGGGGAAAAGGGGCTGTGCCGGGGCAGCCAGGCTGAGGCTGTGCATCTCCCTGCTTGCCCATCTCGTGGTGCAGGGCTGGGCCACCAGGCAGCGTGGCGTAACCACCATATCACCCTGTCCTGCCACTAGGCCACCGGCCAGCACAATGCTGGGCCTGACTGCAGCACACGGAGCCCCTCCGGAGGCTGCACTTCCCAGGAAAGGACCCCAGGTTTGTGGTGCAGAGGCCCCTTTCCAGCCCTGCAGCTGCAGGGGGGCACCTGTTTTGGAGAGCATTTCTCCTCTGAAAGTCCTTCCACCTCTATTTCCCTGGCCTCCTCAGGGAGCACGGCCTGCTCTAATCTCCCAGGCATAGCACAGCTCATTGCCTCTCCCTTGTGACAGTAACCGAGACGCAGGGGGAAGAACGACAATGTTTTCTAGGTGGCTTCTTCATGCTCAGGGTTTTAAAGGTATTGTACTCCTTTGCAGCTCATTTGCAATGGATCTTCCCCTGCCTTCAGATCCACCGAGACCTGTGAGCTGACTGCAAAGAGCAGCCGCCCGGGTAGCTCGCAGCCCCACAGCCTCTGTGCGGCTGTGCTGAGCAGCCGTGAGGGCTGGACCCTGCTCTCATACGAGCACTGTGCCTGTTTACACCAGCGTAAGAGAAATCTGGACCAGACTGTGGCAGTCAGATTTCCAAAGGCATTTGGGAGGTGCAGCAGCACCGAGTCTGACTTACTAAAGAATCCAAGCAACTTAGTTGCATAAGTCTCACAGACTCCTGAAGCCCGGTAAAAGCACGGTATCTCTCCATGCCTATGAGAAGTCACAGTTGCCCAAATGGCTGCTGAAACCGTGGCTAGGCAAGAGGGGAGCTGAGCAACTCCCTTCCTGGCCAAGCACGTTCTTGGAGAGATACAATGCCAGAAGGTGTCACCAGTGGGGGACCCGAAATAGCTGGGCATTTGGGTGTGCTGACACATGATGTGCCGTCCTGGTGGTAGTGAGGCAATGCCCAGAAGCAGCTGCTCCACTCTCCGAGCAGCTCTCCACTTCCTTCGCTGGCGTGGCCAGGTCTCCACTTCTCCACCAGCTCTTAATTTGTCTGAATTCTCTACCTAGGAGCCGGAGCCCCTGGCACCTCCAGGGAGCAGGGCTTTCTCCCTCCCGCAGATTGTGCTCACCGAGTGGGTGTCTGAACCACCGTCCCCTGAAGCCGAGCTTGAGGTGTCGGTAGAAACAGGCTCCTCTGAGCACAGTGGCCAGTCTGGCAGCAGAGGAGCAGGAGGGGAGCTTGCACCCGTCCATGTGCAATTGGAAGGAAACTCTGCTGACGTGCTCTCACCAGACAGGCCTGAGAGCCGCTCTGATGGGGAAGGGAAATGCTGTGCATCTCCTGGCATCTCAGAAGACTCTCCAGCCACACTTAGGTGCGTTCCAGACTCAGCCACGCAGCCCCAAAGAGGCCCTTATCAGGGCTGTGACCATGCAGCAAGAGAGACTTCAGTATTCCCTCTAGTGAACAGCAAGGTCCCATCTCTCTCAAAGCATGCAACTAGCCAGCCCCTTGGGGAAGAAGGAAGGGACACAGCTTTGAACTCTGCTGGAAACCAAGAAGGCAGCAGCAAGCCATCACCCCAAGGTCCTTTGGCTGAACAGCCTCCTCCTCCTTGGGGGGAAGCCACAGATCCTGGAGCTGGAGACACAGCGCTCCCGTCCATCAGTGCAGATGGTGAAAGGCCCAGCGCTGCCGTGGGGGTTCCCAGTGATGTTGTGGAGCCCCAAGGAGGAACCAGACAGAGTGTGCAGAAGGCAGTTCCTCCTCCTGGAGTCCCTGATGGGATTTGCAGACAAATGCAGAGGGAGGAACGCAACAGCTTGCCAGCACCAGCATGCCCGGTGCCAAAACCTAGATCTTTCCTAGGCAGCGATCCAGACCAGCAAGGGAGCAAAGAGTCCAAGGCTGAGCATCCCAAGGAGCAGGTCCCTGCTTTATCAAGGCCAACGGAGCATGAAGCAGCACCCCGCCAGAGCAGCCTAGGTCTGCCCGCTCAGGGAGAAGGAGCCGAGATGGACTCCGGTGTAGAAGGAAAGATAGCAGAGGAACATTGTTCCCAAGGTCCTCGGGGAAGGAGGAGCAAAGGGGAGGTATCTCCTCTCCACCCCATGACTCCACGCAGCAAAGAGATTTATGAAGGCACGTACCAGAGACTGGATAGCCTAGAAGAGACTATCCGTGAGCTGGAAATAACCATTAATGAAATCAGCAGCCATCCATCGGTTGAATTCATATTCCCTAAAGAACTTCTAGGACAAAATGAGCCTAAGGATGCCAGCGAAGGGATAGAGGAAGGTCCAGGGGATCTCATACACAGTAGCTGTGACGATGGGACTGCCCTGGATCTCAGTCAGGCCAAAGATGATGCTCCTGAGAGTCCATCTCCGAGCAAGACCAAACCACCTCTGCTACCGAAGCCGCAGCTCCCTCTCGACAGTCCTCAGGTTTATTTTCTGTTATCCCTCTTACTGTGCTGTACCCTTGGATTCACTCTGATGCGTTCTCTTCCTCCACCTCTACCTGCCCCCTCTCTGTGAATCTACCTTCAGATAGACCTGAGGTGTAAAACAAATCTCCCTTTCTCCCCGTCACTTGGGCAGGCCATTGGAAGTGCAGGCAAGAAGGAGCGAGACTGCAGACAGCAGGGAACGAATTGTAAAGGCAGATGGTCGCAGGCAGCGCTGCTGTCTGCCCCTCTGTCTGCGTGCTGGTGGCTTCCTCAGCCCCTTGCCGTGCTGCGCTCTAGCACTGAATCAGACCAGGGCTAGCAGGCGTCTTCTGCGGTGGCAGGGTTCAGGGCTGCTCCTGGTGCGCAGCAGCCCTGGCCGCCTGGGCTGCTGGTCTGGGAAGGGGCTGTGCCTGGGATCTGCAGCAGGCGCTGGGATGGGGATTTTGCTGTAGCTCAGACCCAAGGCACAGTCCAGCTTCACATCGGTGTGATCACGGGCAGTGATGAACCAGGCTCTCCAGAAGGGAAGCTGCTTTGCACGGAGCGTGGCTGAGTGCGTATTAGATCTGGCCCGCTGATAAGCAGAGAGGCAGAGAGCGCCGTCTCCAGGACTTGGCCTGGGGACCAGAAGGATTAGCTTTTACCCTGCCACCTTCTGCAGAGCGGTCTCTGGCTGGCTCCAGAGATGACCGAGAGTTCAGCCTAGCAGCCCGCGGCTGCTCGGCACGCAGAAGGCCTGCACGTGCTGAACTGAGAAAGTGGCTTTTCTCTTTTTTTGTTTTGCATAAGCACTTTTCTGACTAACTGCAGTTTAAGTGACGCTGCAAAGCAGCAGATGTTTCTCCTAATTAAATCACAGTGCGGGCTCCCTGAAGCCGTCCAAATTGGTTTCCGTTGGAATCTGCAGCAGCCACTCGGCTTGCTGAATAGCTGGGAAAAGAGGGGGAAAAAACCCTCAGCCACTCAGAAGTCAGCCTGTTCCTTTATTAACAATCAGTGCTCATGAATGAATCTCCTTTTTCATTTGCAGCAATTATCTCAGCCCTGGTTCTCACTTACACCGAGGCCCCTTTACAGCGCTCTCACTGGGTAAATGGGCCTTCCAAGTGGGTGTAGCTGCAATTTTCTCCTATTGTTAGTTCCCGCTGCACTGCTGGAGCTGTGCAAACGAGAAGCAGAGCTGTGAGATGAATTTATTGCTATGGCTGACGCGTTCTTGGGTACTCACAAAGCAAAACTGAAATCGGGGCTTGACAGGAGAGGCTGTGTAGCCAGGCTTGCCTCTGTCGATCCTTAAATCAGCGTCGGAGAGGGCAAATCTCACTTGACATTTCAAGGCTGCTGCAACTTGGATGCAAAGGCTAAGATCCAGCACCTGTTTGTACCCAGGATGCTGGGGAAGGTGTGGCGTGGATGGGACCCAGATTTCGTTGCGTTGGGTCTGGGGAGTCCCTGTCTCTAGTCTGTAGGACCACTGAGAGTGTGAGCCAGGGCAGGTAGGTCAGGCACCGTGCAAGCCGTGCGTGTGTTGATTTGCTCTGCGGCGTGCAAATAACCCGAACACCAAGTGGACAAGGAGGAGAATGTAGGAAGGAAGCAACGCATATGAGAGTGCAAAATAAAGCATTGCTGCAGATACCAGCACATCGAACCCCTCCTATGCTTCCTGTTCCCTCCTCCTGCAGTCAGCCACGCTCCCAGCTCTGCAGCTCTGCTGTACGATCCCACTAAGCTGGCCTTGCTGGGGTAGCCTGTTGGCCCTCTCCTCCTGCGAGGTTCAAGATGCAATCTGGCCATAAGTTGCATGTTTCAGGGGCAGCATCCGAAGTGCCAGTTTTGCTGCCTGGGGAGCTGGTCCAGGTGCAGCACAGGGCAGGCAGGAGGGAGCAGCGATTGCAGGGGAAGGCTTTGGGCAGCACCAGGCAGTGGCGAGGCTGCAGCGTGTGGCACTGCTGAGGCTCCTGGCAGGGTCCTGTGCAGCTACTGCTTTATTCCCCTGCTTGGAGGATTTGCTCACAGTTACAGGAAATGTGCTTTCAGGTAATGCTTCTCTCACTGCTGTTCTTGCAAGGCTTTGTATCTCAACCTGTGCAAGATAGATAATAAAAACCTCTGTATTCCCACTACCGTCGTTTCCACCTGGAATCTGCTTCTGTCTGACGTCGCCTCTTTCTCTTTCTCTTGGCTGTGCATCCCCTGCACAGGCAGAGATGCTCTCTTCCTGCTCTCAGCCTCCTGTTTGCAGTGTCTGCCCCTAACCCTCCCTGTTTGCATTGCAGAGTCGGCGGCGGCTCTGTGTTGGTAAGTCCTGGCCGGTTTCTGAGCTCCTCAAAGCAGATGCCTGATGAGGGCTCCTTTGGCACATGGATTTGGTGTTCTTGTTAATGTGGGCACCAGTTGGCAGTGTCTGCAAGGCTGTAGATCCTGCTCCCCTGCCACCTTCCCAGCAGAGCTCTCTGGAGCATAGAGATGCTCAGCTCCTCTGCAGAAGAGCTGAGTGCAAGTCTATCCCAGCAGAGGTGCAGCATCCCACGGCCTGCTGCACCCCAGGGCCTTGGCAGGGTGAGCCAGGCTCGCCATGGGACTTGTAACCCCCTGCCTCCAGCGTGGGTGGGATGTCAAAAGTGTTTTGCTACATTCTGGCTCTGTTCATGACAAAAGCCGTTTGAACGTGGGCAGAGTTAATTCAGTGCTGGGAACTCTGGATTCGCTGCCAGGGGCAAGGGGTGTCCTGGCAGTGCCACGGAGCCCTGGGGCCCAGCGGGATGGTGTGGGGACGTGCATCAGTGCCTGGCACAGCTCCGCGCGTCCTGCGCCCAGTGCTGGCAGTGCCCAGCTGGAAGAAGCGCTAATGTGTTTATTTGCCTGCTGGTGTTAACCCCCTCCCCAATTCTCTGTCTCAACAGAGCGGTGGCGTCTCCATCCCAGCCATGAAGATGGTGAACCCGGCGTCCAGGCTGAAGCAGAGCCAGCAGGGCAGCCCCGACAAAAGCAAACACATAAAGCAGAGAATGGAGTACATGAGGATCCAGGGACAACAGCAGGTAGTTTATCTCTAGAGTAGATACCCCGACTCTCCTAGCAGCAGGGCGAACTGCAGGCTAGCCAGGACCTCTGCTTTTCCCTTGCTGTCTCGAGGGGTGAGGGTGTGGGTGGTGGGCAGAGGAGGAGGGAAGGATTTGCCAGCAGATGCTGCTTTTTTGGGGACTGGCCTCTCAGTAACGGCCCTTCTGGCAGGGCTCGGGGTGCGGGGACCCACTCTCAGGGGGCAAGAAGGCTCAGGGAGGTGGACAGGAGGATCTCTCATGTCCGTCTCTTCCTGGCATGCTGGTTTCCATATAGCTGGCTATTGGGGACAAGGACACAACCTTGTGCTGAGCTGAAAGTAGTAAATGCATTTCAAGTGTGGTGTGAGGTTGAAGCACGAGTCACTTCTTCCCTGTCTGTGTGTGCCCATGCTGCCCCGATGGACAGAGCTGAGCCCCAGGGCCAGGTTCAGGCACTGCGGGCAGGGAAGCTTTGATGCCCTTGTCCTGAGAGATCCTTAGACCTCTTTGAAGACCATTTGGCCCTGGTAATGAGAGGGTTCATAACTCAAGGCCTCTTGTACAACCCAAGTATGCTGTGGGATCTGGAGATCCCCAGCCTGCTGTATCACCACCGATGTTGCACCTTTAGCCTGTCCTGCCCCGAGCCCCAGGGCGTCCATGCCCATGGCTGCCCACAGGACCACTCTCCTGCTCCGTTCACAGCCGGCCTTGTAGGCAGAGCAGGCAGAGGGATGGGGAGGAGCACATCTGGGCTGTTGTGTTCATGCTGGAGCAAACCCTCTGCAGAGCAGTGCCCTTGGCTGGCTTCAGAAATGGTTCTCCGAGGGGCTCCAGGTGTCCCAGGATGGCCTTCCCCATCCATCCCAGGAGGTTTCAGAGAGCCAGAACCCTCCTTCCCCCCATCCCTCTTTCCCATCGGCTCCCCACGTGCTGCAGGGCTCGCAGGGACAGCCCAGCACACAGCCAGCCCGCGGCACAGCGACACCCCTGTCTGCAGAAGCAGGTTTTCCCAGGCAAGGGGTATCTAGGGCAGGGTGGCAGCACCAGGGCTCCTGGCAGCGTGGGGAGGGGGTGGGGGGGCCAGAGCAGCTGGAAGAGGAGAGCTTTGGGATGGGATCATGCCCCCCTTTGGCCCGACACCGACCCCTGTCCCCGTCCTACGTGGGCTTGTCTGCGTTAGCCCGGACCGCTCCTCCCGCCTGCCGGGCGCAGCGGCGTTCACTTGCTTCTGTATTCTTGCTGACACGACCAGTGCTCACAGTGGCTGTCCAACTTGCTCAGGCCACAAGGCAAGGTAACAAAAGCCAGTTTGTCGCCCTTAAACCTCCCCCTGCCTTCCTCACCTCTGCCGCCGCTCTCCTCCGCGAGGACCCCAGCACCCTGCCTCTGCCCCCGTGCTGGACAGCAGCACCACGAGCGGGGCTTGTCCTGCTCCGTCCTCCCCTCCCTGCCCTGGTCTGTGTTTCAGTCTCCTTCCCCAGGCCTGTCTTGAACATCCCACTCAGTAAACCCAATTTTGCTCATTCTGTTGGAACCGGAAACCCTGTCAGACAAACCAAAGGCGCGAGGACCCCAGCACCCTGCCTCTGCCCCCGTGCTGGACAGCAGCACCACGAGCGGGGCTTGTCCTGCTCCGTCCTCCCCTCCCTGCCCTGGTCTGTGTTTCAGTCTCCTTCCCCAGGCCTGTCTTGAACATCCCACTCAGTAAACCCAATTTTGCTCATTCTGTTGGAACCGGAAACCCTGTCAGACAAACCAAAGGTTTTTTTTTTTCCCAGCTGCCTCGAACCGTAGCTGTCGGGGGCGGGGGGGAAGAATTCACGCAATTTGGGCAAACGCATCATGAGCAAAAT